ATGTCTAAAAGTCATTCGAGATTGGCTTGTAAACTCTTAAGTAAAGTTGTTTAGCGATAAGTAGATTGGTCTCGGTTCGTATTTTTATTATTTTGTGTAAATGGTATTAATTTCAATTGAAATTTTCTTATCATCAATATTTAAATAGCTAGTAGCATCTTAACGGTAACGCTAATTAGTCCATTAGGAAAACTTGTCTCTACTTGTATATAAATTATTCCAAGCTAATTACTGTTTATAGTACTCAAAGAAAGTCTTTTAGATGATTCGTTATAATAAAAAAAGTGAATGAGAACAAATCCATCAGAGCTTCTTTGTGCCCGAAAAAGATTTCCCAGTCGCACTATCGTACGCTTCAGTTCTTCTTACACAATTATCACGCTTTAACTGGTCATTATCTCTGCGAAGTTTTACAACCTAACAACAATCTCGTGTTAAAATCCCCCCACAATCAACAAAAAACAAGGACAAGGTAAAACCGCCCCTGCCTCCAGGGAGTTACGGGCAACTTGACAGCTGGCAAGTTAGCTAATTTCCTTTTAAGAGAATCGTTAGAATGCGAAAGTTTAGAGCTGGAGGGAAGGAGGTAAAGGGGAGAAAGAGGACAGCATAAAGTAGCAGAGAAAGGAGAGCGTTAGTGAGCATAATAGGCCTATTGGGAATGTCCTGGTGTCGAAAGACGTGTGTAAATGAGAATTGTTAGCTGATATTCGATAGCGGTTAAGGTGTATTGATAAGGTTGAAGGAATAGGGTTTTGTTTAGATTGTTTTGTTTTTTTTCCCTTTATCTTGAATATCAAGGTCATTAAAATTGCGAATATTTATGCATACTGTATAAATCACTGTAAAATAACGTTCATAGCACATAGAGGAGATATTACAAATATGCCGTAGCTTTATATATTAATTATAAAAATGGTGAGTTTTAACTAGTTAATCACCATCAGTTGGTATTTATCTAATTATATAAATGAAAATTGTCTATATTCTAGTTAATATGGGAGCACGAAGAGTCTTAATTAGGCTTTGAAAGTAAAAATATTTACTATTTCAACAAAGTTTACTTTTGATGATTGTTGATATAAAAGCATCTCTTTTCGCTCTGTCTGTTCGTTTCTGTCTGCATGTCTCTTTCTATCTGCCTCTGATTTTGTGTCTCTGCTCCCTCCCACTTTTTATTTCACGCGGTCTTTTCTATCTTTGTCTCTGTCTGTCTCTCTGTCTCTCTCCGTTGTTACCCTCTCCCCACTCTTCTTCACCTTATAGCTGCCTACTTTTGCACTCAAACTCTCTATTCATTCGAGTAAAAACATCTGTTTAAGTTTCATTATGTTCCAATTTAGGTGTTTAGATTTTTTTGTAGTTTTCTCACTTTTATTATTGATTTTTCAAACCTTTTGAATAATACATTGAATAAAATGGCGAATTAGAGTTTATAGTATTTCTTATTTGTAGCTCTTTTTCTATGGTTTTTGTTTTGGTTTTGACTATTTTAAATATAAAATTTCAAAGGGAAATTTTTTACATTTCTACTTTTTGTCTCTTAATCTTTTTTTTTTTAGTTGAAAAAAAACACGAAATCCTATACAGATTATACAAATAAAAAAGTTATCAGGTTCATAGGTTACGGGTATAAACTATTGCCACACATTTTAGGCCTAGAAATAAGTCGTGCAGAAAGGTGTGAAACTGACAGATACGACTTGACACGAACCACTCAACAAACGCCCTCGGCCGTCAAACAAGGCCCAAGACGGCGTCTAATTGGAAGCGTCCCCGGCAGCCAACCTCGATAATTTGTGGAGTGACGCCTTGCGAATGATGTCCCCCGATATACATGTACTCAATTACTCATCACTTAAAAATTCAAGAATCTCGTACTTTCTAACATACTTTCGGTGAAGGAACCTTTTGTAAAAAAACGAAAACTGATCTATAATACCTAAAGCCGATTAAGTTAACGCCCTAATCCTCTACGATTAACGCCTCCGAAAAAGAATTTTTGTACAACAAAAAAATTTTCTTTTCTTCATTCCACCTTATTTACAACTTCTATAAATAGATATATCTATATAGAACCAGAGAGGATAAATTCATATATCTAAACATCAAATATTGTGTATATTTATATAAACTACACCTATATGTAAATATACATGTATTGCATGTAGGAAGAAGATATATGCAAGTTGTATATACATGTATACGCTGTATGTATAATAGTTCAATTACAACTTAAAGATTTCTCCTATTAATCTATCAATAATACTTAGCGCTATATGATTCATTATCAATTTATTAATGTTCATACCTATTCCAATATTTTATTTTTATTTCTCAACAGGAAATCGTCCGCTAAACTGACAGATGAAATATTCAATATGAACGTCTTTTAAAGGCTATTGAGTACATTGTGGTAGTTTTACTGCATATTGTCCTTGTTCTACTCTTCTTCTCCTCTTATTTTTTATTTATTCTTCAAGTAGTAAAAACGTTTATTATTGCTGAGAAGATTGAATTAAAAACTGGTTAGTTTTTAAGAGATTTTGGATAAATTATTGAAGGGAATGGGAGAAAAATAGCATTAGTGCCCATTTTAAGACATTCCCCTCTGATAGTTCAGGTCTAATATGTATTTTAATAAAGCTCTTAAGAAGGTTTAAGAGATTTCTCCCTTTTAATTTCTTAATTCCCTTTTCGTTCATCTTGCAGTAGGTAGTACAGAGCAAATTTATTGTATTGATTTTAAACAATTTAATTAAACAAGGAAACTGAAAACTTGCACAAATAATCAATAATGCTAAAAGGCGATTAGATTGCAGAATCTAAGCTAGCCCGATTAACACCTCGCCAGTCACCGTCGTCTCTTTAAAAAGTCATCCGATTCCAGAGCTCATTGCTCTCATCACGAATTCCCAATCTATTTTGTATACTATTTACGTATTGCATACAAATTTTACAATTGCTACAAGTCTTTCATCATTCTTTCGTCTTCTACCTTATCTGCTAAACAGTATCTAGTACTATCACGAACAACTACTATTGCTGTTGGTACAACTACATCATTGATTATAGTAGAAAATGATTATTTTTTTATTAACGAAACATTGTTTTTGCCCAATCTAACTGCTAAAACTAACTGATAATTACTTTTCCACTTTTATCTAACAGCATCAATGGTTTATTTACAAAACAGAGTCTAAATCCGTAGTAGTGTTTTTGTTTTATTTCTTTTGTTCCAATGAGACGCTACAGCGTCTCCTCTTCCCTATGTTCGTTCTGTCTTAGAGACGATAAGAAAATCTAATTTATGAATATTAAACCAATAAATCCGTTGTTTTTACGAGCAAGCACCTGTCCCGTTTTGACAATAGGGTTACTTAAAGGAAAATCCCTATGAAAGAACATTTCTTGTTTGACAAGGGATTTTCCAGAGGGACAGCAATCTGTAATGGAAAAATGCAGTTGCTGGGGCGAGAGTGTTCAATAACTAAAAACCGTACTTGACCTACTTTCCTTTGTTCGTCGGTGATTCGTTTATAAACTTTTGTTTTATGAACTTAATTAGCAGTCAATTTTAGTCACGTGACACGTGCATGAATTTTTTAGTCAGATGTTCTGTGATTGCGGAACATAACATTTGCGTTCTGTAGAATTAATCCTACATTAGGTAATTAATGTCATTACGTCTATAAAAATACATTAGAATAATACCTTGTCGAATCGTTTTAATCCTAGTATCACGCAGGGTGTAACCTTATCATTAAATTTACAACTTTTCGTCTTAAAACATAGAATTAAATTAGCAGGATTTCTTATTGTTTATTATCAGAAAAGAAAAAATAATTAGATTGATTAGTTTCTTTAAAAGCTATAAAGCAAAGAAAAAAGGAAGAGTAAGATGCTAAATATAGTCAAATGGACAAACACTTTGCACGCGTACATTCGCGTAAAGTAAGCAAACGATATTTTCCTTCTTTTATTTCAATATATCCTATTGAATTTTTTATTAAAAGGCAAAAAATTGAATTTGCTTTTAGAGAGATATAGTTTACTATCAGTCGTTCATTCATTTATTCTCTCTATCTATTGATATATTTCTCTTCTTGTTTCTTATCCTTCTCTCCGTCTCTCTCTTTTGTTTTTATAGGAATGAATAAATAATTAAATAGAAACAATTTATAAGAGTCAAGAGAAACCTAAACAAACATATATAATAAGGTCAAGTGTACTAATAAAGACCGGTAATTGACGCGCTTGATGGCTAAGTGATTTACATGAAATTGAAGATGATTAACGATTAAAAAAAAGTCCTAAAACAAGAACCATAGTGGATTTTTATTAATTTCTGACCTAATTAAATATCCAGCCTCTTTTCTAATTGGTATAAAAAAAGAAACTGTTGCGAAAAGCTAACAATTTCTACTCGTTAAAATCGGCCCCGAGCAAATATATCTTCCATAAAGTACACCTTTTAATCATTATATGTGTTCTACTTATGGTAGAGTATAGTTTTGCTATTCCGATTAGGTATATATAATTACTGGCAGTAAATAGAACTGTAAATACCAGTTTAGTCACATGATCTATTTGAACACCGCAATGTAAATTAACATTATGAAGATAATGGGTATCAGATAACACCGATTTTGCTTTAAAAAAAATGTATTGAATTTTATTTTTGGTTAGTGAGATATTTTTTTATAGAGGGGTTATCTATCGGCTTTGGGAAAAAGCGTGTGAAAGCCGTTGAAATCGTTTACAATGATATTTCTTAGTTAATTATAAGCTTAGAAGTGTTGTAAACAACTGTAAATAATATAAGATCTCCTTACTATTCAATATATTCCGTTCAATTGATTTCAAACAACAAAAAAAATGGATAAAATCCGATTTTTGTACACTTAACAAAAAATTTTCCTACGATAAAGATAAACGGCAATAGGACGAAGAGAACAATACACGGTATATAGGAGTAGAATAAAATACTAAAAACTTACGTTGCTCGGCTGATAGAACAACTAATGCAGCAAATCTCAAAAGAGACAATAAGTAAACCATATCAACTGAGTCTTCTGCATAAAACCGGAATAATTTTCAAATTCTTTTTAACTTAAACTAAATTGAGAAGAGTTTTTCCTAGACACGTTTACCGACAGCTGTCGTTAGCACGACTGCCGCCGTTTTTCGTTTAGCGCATGCGCAGATTTTCGGGCAATCACGTGGCTCCTCTCTAATTAATGTAGTTTGAGAGGGATTCTCGAAATGATGCGAGGATAAGTGGTGACTTGAAAAAAATCTTAAAAGCCCTGAAATGACTTCCTCTATAGGATTCGCAAATCTAAATCTCATTTGGGGAAAAATTGTCAATTTTAACGGTTTTTTCTAGTGAAAATCAGCGTCTAATGAAAAAAACTATATTCTTCTTAAGGACTTTACCACCAACTATTTTTGTAGACGCTTAAATTAAGTTCCGTTAACGAGGTAAATCATAGATTCATTAACTAGACGATGCTTATGAAATTAAGGTGCAGAAAGCTTCGGATATAAACTCCAAGTTAGAGAGAGTAAACAATCCATGTTCTAAGGTAGCTATATCTATATATTTCCGTGAAAATGAGGAGGATGGAGCGAATACGATGACGGATAAATCATTCTTTCCAAGTCAATTTGTTTGAATAGCAAAAAAAGAGTCGGTTGAACAAGAGTGTCGTACAAATAAAATAGTTGCTGAGATATTTAAAAGATAAACATTCTAGTAAAAGGGAAATGCCCTTCCCCTTTCTGTCGATAGTTTACCCCCCGATTTTTTCTCACCCTTTTTCTCTATCTCTCTTTTCACACTTCTTATTCATTCTACCATCATTGTTTACCAATTTCACAGTCACCCTCCTAATTTATATTCGCGGAGATTGCGTAAGTCCAATTAGCCTCAATCATCTGGAATTAGAATTTCCCTTTCTTATTTGGTTATTAATAAGCGTTTATATAATTTTTTATCTATAAAATAAGCGTTCCTATTAAAAAATAATTTGATCAGGCCCATCTAATCTATTATATGTGTAGAGCAAATATGGTTTATTTACATAGTCATTCGACTGACGCTCAATTAAAATTACAATCGTTTTTCTTTCAAATATTTTGACCACAACTCATCTTTAACAATAGAACGCTAAGAAAGTATCATAGTATATTATTAAGAATTCTTCTTGAGCGGCGTCTAATGTTAATATCAGCTTAAGGAATCACTTTATACAAAAAAAATTCCTTTTGAAGGAACAATTTAGATAACGAGCTCATTTTCTCGAATTTTGCTTATCATGCAGATAAATCGATCCTTCGTTAGCGACGGCTTGAGCCAGAAGCGTCACTCAACTGCGAAAATTCGGTTTATAATGGCACACTACACAGTTCTATATCGACTTTATTTTCATTTCATATCATTCTATTTATTTTGTTTTAATGTTGGATATTCGCAGGTATACTAAAATATTCCCTCTTTTTCATCTAAATTCACTTAAATAGCTGCACAAATATTTCATATTTCTATTACAAATACACTCATTAAAAATGAAAAAGTGGAAAAGAGATACGACGCATCCAAATTGTTGCAATACAATGATAAAGGTAAAATGTAAATAGACTAAACGGGTTAAAGAGAAAGAGATAAGTAATAACCCAGCGTCTCATCTTGAGCTAGGAGCGTCACTAGACTGTAAAATCTTTGATAAGCTTGATGATAAGGGTATCTCTCCCCCTTGCCTCTTTCCAAATCCGGAATATCCTCTATACACAGACAGCGGCTATGATTTTCTTTATTGGAAATGCGCGTAGACGTCTATGTGCAGCTGCAGCTAATATTAGAGAGCCGTACGAATAATGTATATTTGCAAAGTATAATGCTGCATAGAAACGTCCATATATGCTATAAGCACCGCAATATAATAATACTCGCGATTGTACTCTATACAATATCATTCAAAATATATTGCAGAACAGGTAAAAAAAGTGACGCCCATTGACACCCGCGGCGCTTTAACGGGGCTCGTATAAATGTCAATAGACAATAGCGGTGAAACAAATGAACGAATCCTATCGATACTTCTATGTAGCTTCCGCTGTTGCCATAAGAATTGAACAAACCTAATTATACGGGGAACTGATTACGCAATCGTCCTTTTGCTGACTCGTTAATAATTCTTTTTTATAAGTAAGACGAATTGCGAGTCACGTCCTCGCATTAGACGCTATCCGAAGCGTCTAAAGCTGAAACTATTTGGGGTGCGTTTGGACGGACAACTAAAAACTCTCAAAGATGAATTGTACCCGGAAGAGAAGATTTATTTCGATTTCGTAAACAAGTTTTCCAAAGGGACAGAAGGAAATATCTTTTTAGGCCCAAAAAAAGAGAAAGGGAGGGAGGGAGAGAGAGAGAGAGAGAGAGAGAAGTATTATTGTACAACGGAAAAATGAGCGAATAAATATTTGTTGACATGTTCCCGCAACGTCAAACACACGTATAAGACATTATATACATAAACTCAAAAAATAGAAAAGTTTTAAAGTAATCAACTGGAATTGTTTACACCTTTTTATATTTCATTCATCTTGACTTTTCTTCCGTATATAAATAATTGCCTTATAAGTTATTAATAATAGTATTTGCTTGTTGTTGTTGTTTTAAAGCTTATTTCATTAACTTTTCTCAACTTTATTACATTCATTTTTCATTTACAACTACGAAAAATGGCAATGCTAACATTAATAACTTATATAGATGTACAGAATATATTAGTATATATACACATACGTTTACAAACACACCCACAGTTTTATAACTCTATGCAATAGTATTAAAAACTCTTTTTTTTATTACTACACGTGTTACTCTTTAATTATAGAAAATGACAAAAATGACTCTAAATTGAGTTTTATTGTTTACTTGACTGATGAGATGAAAAAGATAAAAAATAAAGTAAGGTTAATCGACTCAAAATTTTTTGACTTATTTTAATACACCACGTGACTTTTCTTTATCCGTCATTATAGAGAATTAACGTCAACTAGGGCAAAACGATGTGGGAAAGCATCAGTAACATTTTACGTCACACTGGGAAGATAAAGGAAAATTGAAGATTTTCTTTACTGTTCAATTACTCTCTTATATAATTTTATTTTCAATTTTTTTGTTACTGCCATCTGCCGAAAAGATTTGACTAGTTAATTTATGTAACTAGTTCGCTCTATCAATCCACCTTGAGAAAGTCAACCCGATTGGGATAAATAAAAAATAAACAAAGCATACAACAAGGCTATACGGTATAGAAACATATATTGAAGTTTTCTTAAAACAATTGGACGACAGAAGGCGCTAGAGTAAAATTTAGAGGATATTTCTTTATACATAATTTTCTTTTCATTACCTTCTTTTTCATCTCAATTAATGAATTGATTGAGTTTGACCTAAATATATACTTTTTAACACTTGATAATAAAAGAATAGAATAGGATGAATAACTTTTGAGATAAATATTAATGAACGAATTTGAACAAATGAAATTTATTAGATATTAAATAATTGAATGGCAAAAAAAAACTAATAAAAGGAGTGAAAGAAGGAATAAATGAAGGAAAAAAGAAAAAGAAAATGATCGTAAGGGGTATGGGACGAATAGATGGAGGAAACTGTTCGATTATTCTTGGGAGATAGCACTTAAATGTGTTGTATATAAAACTATTCGCCCATTTTTTTGTAACGCTAAACACCCCAATGGAAATAAAGATGCTTATTGTTACCAAGAGTAGGCCAACACTATAGAAAAAATAGACGGCTAATAATCCGATGCAATGATGCAGAAATACGGCTCAGTAGGCCTATGTAACTAATACATCCACTCGTATTGCCTCGTTTCCGGTAGTCTAAAAGCCAATGTAAAAATATGTATAAATAAAAAAGGAAAGCAACTTATTGTTAGTAGCCTGGGAAACGGGACGTCCAAAAAGGAAGGGATGTCTCCCCAGGCTCGTTCATTATGCTCTGCTAGGCGTCGAAAAAGAGACGCTGGTAATCGGGCGCACTTTTCTTTGTGAGTAAACTCAGTCATCGTTACACATGCGGCTAATGCGATTGTATCCTGTTTTTTAACTTGTTTCCTAGCAATAATCAACAGTAAAACAGTATAAAAGTATTTTTCAACCCTTTTTATTGTGTCACCATGCTTTAATAATTACGTAAGGAGGTTATCCTCAAAATTATCCTCTTTATGAAAACGCCAGTTCCGCCATCTCGCGGACACGCTGATTTAACTTATATAGCGTTGTTTTTGACTTTTTCAACCCGAGGATAAATAAGCTAGGGAATTTCGTTATACGAGTGAAAAGCTGCAAGCAGAATACAATTAGTCTGCATGTAAAAAGTATCGATATTGTAAATGAACTGTAATGCTCTTATTTTCTCCCAATACCGGTACACAGACTATGCGAATAGTACGGAAAATCTAAGTAACACTTTGAAGAGAGTCGTTCATGTGGAAAGCTGTTGTCGGAAAGATCTGAACAAGTTTTTAGGTAGACTAGGGAGAAGAAAAGAATCAACGAGTGTTATATATCTAATACAAAGTATATCTCTTTCTACTTCTAATGTAAATACTTAATTAAAATTAACTGTATATTTTCATTTTTCATTATTTAAATTCATTAGACATATTAATTAAAGAATGAAGAGGTTTTCATTTTCTTTGGAACAAAACACTCTCTTTTGAACAGTTTAAATAAACTTGAACACTGATTCAATTCATTCAAATGATAATACGTAAGTTTTGTTTCTTTAACAATATGTACAACCGATTGGATGAAACTGTATGCAGTAGATATATTTTTGCTAACAAAGCTCATTTACTCTTAAGCTCTTATAATGATAAATATTACTCTTATTCCATACGTAGAAAGCTGCAACTCCTGCACTTGTTCTCTTTACTTCGTTCAACGAAATATTCTTTAAAACTTGTTCCGCTTTTGAAATAACATCTGCATTCACCTTTGGTATTTCTATACTTCGTATTTTACTAAATAGACCATCGGAACTAACTACGGAAATGTACTTTTGGCAATTTGTCCATTCGCTAGTATTCGATTCGGGTATTCCTAAGATCAATAATGTCGATTTCATAACTGCGTGTACAATTTCTGGAGGTTGTCTATATTTTCTAATTTCGCTTATACATCTCGGATCAATCTTTAATATTTTCAATTGAATTCTTTTTATCTTATCCATCGTTCGTAACATTTCCATTCCAATTGTTATTTCTTTACTTAGTTCTTTCATATATTCTTTACCAGAAGTCATTTTTATAAGTTCTTTTAATAAATCGTAATTCGTTTCGGCAATTGCCTTTAAAAGGTCTATATAATGCGAAGGAAGGAATAGTTAGTCTACCTTGTATAGATTGATAATCTACTTGATTTGTTCATCTTACCTGATTTTAATTTGGCAACGTTTACAGAAGAATCTTTAGCAGTTGAAGGTCTACTTTTATCTGGTATATTTACAGTATTTTTATCGAATAATTGTCTCGAAACTGAGGATTTAGCGCTAGTTTCTCTTTGCGAAGTATCTCTAGCACTTTTAACTGATCGTGTTTTGGACGAAGGAAACTGTATAAATAAAGGAACGAGGTTGTTTTACAAAAGATGAACTTAATTAATCCTTACAGGAGAAGCCGTTTGCAATCTATTTAAAGTAGATTTACTTTTGTCCGCGGTGTTTTTCCTACAAGAATCCTTTAAATTCGGCTTCTTTTCAGTCGTTTTTTTTTCCACTAGACTTACCTAAAGAGAGTTTTTATTAATATGTTACTTCTCCTAAAAGAATAAGTATGAACATCTTACTTTGTTATTTGTAAAACCAACTTTTTCACCTTCCCTAAACACACCGTCAACTTCATTCATTTCCATAAAATCTGTTACACCAAGGATTTCATCCATTTTACTTTCCCAATCTTCTTCCCTATTCCTCGGGCTATTCTTTTCGTTGTTGTCGTAATTATTTGATGATTCATCTTTTAGAGAAAAAGAGTAATAAATAAGTTATAAATCATAAATGTAAGATATGATATATATGAATTTATAAAAGAAGTAATTAATGTTTACCTTCTTTCTTTTTGACTTCTTTTTCGTCTAATACAAGAAAATAGCAAATGTAAACAGGTAACAGTTGACTTCCGTCAGGCACTTGATCGACAAAAACAGTCAATTTATAAATCCCAGGCGATGGAAACTTGATAGAAATTGTTGAATAATCCATTTCGTTTTTGCAGTATGCACAATTATTAATAATATTTTCAGCGCCGTACAAATCCCAATGTAAAAGCTCTAAATTAAATTTACAAGCTTTTGACTTATAAATTTTAAATTGCGTTGATTTCTTATTAAGTTTTTGAAATGATTGAAAATCCGATTCAGTCCTTAATCCAAATTCAATAAATTTTTCCTGTATACCAATTTTCCTGTTAAATTCATGTGGAAATTTTATATTCCTTTTCGGTTTAGTTTTACAATTGATAATATATGAACAAACTGGATCCATTTCCTTATCAATTTCATCTCTCTTCTTTGCGTAAATGTTTAGGGCGTATTCACCTTCTTGCGGAGCGAATACACGAATACTAGCTCTACCATTCTCGAAAGTAGACAATAGACTATTTTTTAGGTCTTCCAAACCAATTTGTTGGTTTTCCAATTTAGAAAATATATTGAATATTTTATCATCACCGTCGAAATTGATCTCGGCATATCCATCTTCATCTGTATCTATCATACCAATTGTTGGCGATATATTTGAGAAATTAAATTTTTCCATATCAGAATTTGGACCCAATTCCGTTTTTGCAGTTATTGGGAATGAGTGAATGTTTACATCATCAGTCTTTCTTGTATAATGCAATTCATAGTCGCATGCACTTTTATAGACGCTCCGTTGTAGAATTTCATCTTTTTCGTTACGAAGGAATATAGCTAATTTATAAATACCACTCTTGGGAAGTCTCAATCGAATAACGACCCTAAATCTGAGCCTATCTTGGAATAGTGTTACATATGATTGTAGATCAACATTTGGTTCCGCTTTTATTGTAGAATTCTCCCCAGAATTGCTATCATTTAAAAGGCAAATTTGGTGTCTAAATGAGACTGGAATATCGCTATTTGTCCCTATAAATATCTCTAGTTTTGGATCAGATGTCTCGATAATTCGTTTTGGATGAGAGATAATTGTTAAGCCAGCGTCGAAGAAAGGTTGCCTAAGACAAACCATTTCCTCAAACTCGTTAAAAGTAACTTTCCTAGCTAAGAGTTGAAATTTTGGATTATCGGGTAAATGTGTGTAAATAAGCTCCTCCGGATTGGTAAGAAAGTAGTAATCATTGTAATTGTAATATGTTTTATATTCAGCTTTTTCATCAAATTTTTCTTCCATCTCCTCCAATGTTCCATCATCATTTATAAGGCACCATGCTTTATCGTATTTAACTCCGTGAGAACAGGCAAATTGTGGATTGCACAGGTACCAATTATCTTTGATGCGAACTACATTCCATCTACTTTTAATATATTTATCATCATTCTTTCTATTCGAATCCGTATCTGTTCTAATACGACCTTCGCAAATAAAACACTTCAAATTAGCTAAGCTAGAGGAGAGAAAGGAAAAAACCATAAAAAGAGCAAAATAAGGAGCAATCTTAAATAATATAAGCGGCATTAAACTCACCTGCATAATCTTTGGAAGACTGTACTATAATCTGTTTCTTCTCTATATAATTGATTGAGATAGTATGATACGGATTTCTCTATTTTATTATCTAACGATAATTCGGGTAGTTTTAAAGATGATAACCATCTGAACAATATCCTAACTTTTTTAAGTTCATCAAAACAAACTTTTGTTAAATATTTAACAAGATTCTCTTCTGATTTCTCCAAAATATCTTTATCTGTTGTAGAAACTGCAATATTATCAATAACGTCGAAACAGCAGTCTTTTAACACGTCGGTTTTCTTTACTTTTAAAGGGAACGGCTGATCTTTATAAATCTATAACAAGGGGGGAAAAAACAATATCTCGTAACGTAAACAGTTAAATAGGAAGAGGAACAAAAATGTTAACAAACATTATCTGGATAAATGGTGGCCCATTCTTCATTGGCAATTCGTAGTTTCATATTATCCGGAAATCCCATTAACTCAAATAATGAAGCTTCTCTATCATCGCCCTGATTTGTTGATTGTTCACTAGCCATAATACCCTTTGAATAATTCAATAAAAGATTATTGAAGTTTGAGTGAAAATGCTCAATTTGTTCTTTTTATCTATCGTTTAAAGTGGTTAGATATAAGCGATAAAAGATATCTCTTTAATATATTTTTAATATTATATTAAGCAGATTCTTACAAACATATCACAGTAGCAATGATATATGTTTAGTAGGGTAGTTGAACAACGCAAAGAGAGGAGATGGAAAGACATATATAGACGAGGAAAGAAGAAAATGAGATCAGGTTTAATATGGTTTATTTAATGTTAATAAGGTAGGAAATGGGAAGATATGAAAACGTATTTTACGTTTGAGTAAAGAGGGCTTTATACCTTTATATGGTATTCTCAAAATATTTGCAGTATCTACCGTTAATAGTAAAAGATTTTTTTTTATATTCCAACTCCTTAAACGTAAAGAATAATCTCTAAAAAAAGATCCCAAACTAGTAAATTAACAAGTGCCTTAATCGTTTCTTCCTTGTAGGATGTCTTTGTACTTTCATAGATAAATACATGATCTTATTGACTTGAGAAGACAGAATAACGTAAACATGTCTAGTTTACCTTTGCGCTTATTGATTTTTAAACGAAAAATGATAAAGGGAAAATGGAAACTGGTAAAGAATTTACATAAATTTTAGGTTTATTATCATAATAGAAAAAGTTGGTTTACTTACGGAAATTGAATAAATGTTATCTTGAATAGTTGAAGAATTAAAAGTTAATAATTCATTCCTACTTCTCCAACTAAGCACGTGTCAAACTGAAAAAATTTCATGGGAATTGGAAAGGAAATTGCGATTGTGAGCGTAGATTTCAGACTTTGTGTACTCTTGGATTTATGTAATGTTAGATTGCGAATGGTTGACGCAAACCTTCTCTGAGCCCGCGATAGGTTTAGTTCTTACGTAAAAGAAAAAGTTAAAGCGTTAATTCTTTGATGTCGAGTGAAAGTTTTTCTTGTTGAGAACAAAAGATTGTACTTTTTAACTCAATTGACACTTTTTCTCCTATTGAATTAACTAGTCCTACCTATTTTCATCAGTCGAGTCAATACAATTCTATAGTTAGTATATATCGTTAATATTACTGCTTTAAGCTTAATTTTATGATTTTAAATTGAATAAAAACCGATAAAATAGTATTTTATACTTTCCGCTATCTTCTTATCTATAGGCTAAATGAAGTTTGAAGTTTCCCACAGAAAAATGTTAATATACCTCAACTTGAAGATCTGAATAGCGAATCCATGCGTAGACCTATGTATATATATATTTTAAGGAATATCGTCCTATACATTCACTTCCCAAACTCGTGGGAGACAATACTATTTGACCTTTGACCGTGTTATACGAAAGCGAAAAAGGCCATAAACTTTTTTATTCGCTTACAACTATTAACCTTATTTTTTTGGCAATTAGAATAATCATTCTATATCCTATAATCCATTCTTTCGCTTATTATCCTAAATATAGATATCCTATTCAATAATATCATATTTTACAACGCTCTTTTACTTTTCTTTCTTTCTCTATCTTCTGGCGTTTCCACCTTTCCTTTCTTCTAATTGAATTGAGAGGTTACCGTATTCCTTAATTAGGTGCTTGTCGCTGAACAATTGCCCTTCTATATTCAAGACTGTATTCTTAACTAAGACTATTCTTAGCTCCCAGAATTGACAATTCCACTACGGTGTACAACGTTTCATATAATAAAATGTATCAATTCTTTCAAACTGTTTAATACACAATGATAACAATTCCGTACAGGGCATTCAGATCACTTTTAACAATTTTGCATATCAATTATCCCGGTCTTTTGAAAACTATTCAGAAATTCTTTACCCTGCTTGATCTCATTTGTTAGAATATTCGCTCTGGCCTTCTGGGATTTGAAATTGCAAGGTCTTTTGGGAGCATCATAGTTCTTATACTGACTTGATCACTTTGAGAAAAATGTGAAAAAGACTGGTAAAGTTAAATTATCCCATCAGAATATTAGGTATTATATATAGGAATTTTGTAAAATATTAACTCAGCTCTTTGATTGGAGGAGATTTGTTCATTTTGGTTTTAACATACATTTTGTATCCTTGTCTTGTAAGGTCTTAAAAGGTTTACTATTTTAAACGTACAAACGACGTTAACTATACAATACTTATAATCACTAGTTTAAAAATAGTAACTTTAAATAATTTATTCTTTCACTAATAGCCTCTCTATGACTTCTTAAATTAAGAAAGGCCAGAAAGTTCTATTTCAGGTCTTAGCCTTACTGGTAATTCTAGTATCTTGAAAATTTCAATACAAGGAATTGATTGAAAAATTACGGTGCACAACGTTTCATATACTGTCTATATGAAAATATAAATTGCACCTATTGCATTAATCGCTTTTACATCCGATCCCAGAATGTAAGGGGGAGAGTGAAAAAAAAGCCTCTTATTCTATAAATACAATTATTGTTAATGAAGCAAAGTGATGTAAAAATTGTTTACTTGGTTACTTTTAGTAAATTAATTGTAGCTTTTCGTCCATAATGTTTTGACCTATTGGAAAGCAAGGATTCTATTTTCCCTTATTGGGAATTATCGTTAGTATTATCTATTAGTATTTTGTATAGAAATATATGTTTCTTTTTTTTTTCATGAGTGAAATATCGTTCAGTTTCATTTTTCTTCTAAATGTTAGATAAAAGACTACTAAAATCAATGCTTTCGTGTATATTTGACACTCTATCCATTTCTTGGCTTACTTTTCCTGTCCATCACGGAACATTTTCTATAGGTTCGACGTATTTTCTTATTTACTTTTACGCTATAGACACGTCTTCAAAACTTCCGTTAGTCGTCTGGAAGGATTACAACAAACGAACGATAAACAAACAAACGTGCATAGATGTATCCCGTTTTAAGTTGACCAAACCCTCTTTACATGCCTTTCTGAAAGAAATTAAATGAATTTGTTGAATTTTAAAGTAAAGTACAGTGTTTGGTATAAATTTAGAAATTAACGGATTATACCTTTCTCCTCTCTTCTTTTCGTACAAGCAATATACCAATGTACAGTATAAGTATACAAACACCTACAAACACGCATTTTCCCTCTCTCTTTCACTCTCTCTTGATTAAATTTAGTTTTGTAATTGCTGTGAATCTTCTTCAAAATCAAAATATCTCCGTATTTCTTATATAGGTTCTAGTTGAAATAAATTCCTATTAGAAAGAGATTGAGAAAGAAGTGATCTACTTTCCTCTTCTGTACTATATTCCGATGAACTATTAAGTCTTTTTGTAATAATCTACCAATAGATTTCATCGCATGTTTTGATTCATTCAACCTATTATTACTATTTGTCTATGCATTGTTAGATTTTGAATCCTATTGAATTTTAATTCTCAAGCTAAGCTTTTCATGCTTCGGTATGACTGTAATTATTTCAAATTCTCTTTTCCTTTCTCTCTTTATACGATATATTTCATTATTTCGAAATGTTCCTTTTTATATTTAAATATTAAAGAAGTGTTTTATTTCACTTCTGCGTGGAGCTGCTTCCTTATCCTTTTCACTATTTGCATATTATAGAAATTTCTTTTTATTTTCCAAAGTTTCCACCTTCGATTAATACGATTCTCATCAAATCTCGTCTCCAGTTTTCAGTTGTAAGACTATTGAATATTCGTTTTATCCCATTCCTCTCACAATAAACTAAGTATAAGATTGAATTAATTATCATCAGCCTGAAGCTGATTTCTAGTGAATCGTTTTTCGCTAATATGACGAATATCACTACTATTGTTGAAATATGTATAAATGTGCCGAGAATCTTGTCTCAACCACCTTACTTTCCTACTTTTAATGGTTTTTCTATTAGTATATTAGAAGTAAAAGCAGAGTTGATAGTTAGTTAGTTTTTGGCAACATTCTAGTCCATTACTCGTCCTGGATCGCTGCCTATCTTGAAATAGAGCCATATAAGATCGGAAGCTATACCCTTTCTCAGCCTTTTGACTATTAATGAGAAAGTTTTCTAAAATGTCATCTCTAGTAATGTAAAAAGAGAATTCTTTTGAAATTGATATCAATTAATAACAGTCATTATTTCCTACAACAAATTTAATTTTACTTGAAGTTTACTAAGAACCTAATAAAATTAATTAGGAAATTTGGCTACATATGATGAAAATATCCTTGTAAGTATAAACCAGACAATTGTAAAGTATTCTCTATTTTCCCATTTCATTGTTTTCTTTTTTGAAATTCAAATTGAAGAATATTCATTGATTTACTTACAAAATGACAAAATACTATTTCAATTATCGAAGAGGACCTATTTTCTCTATATGAATATTAATATAAAAGCAGCTTTTAGGTGAAAATTGTTATGATTTTAATCGATATTATGAATTAATCAATTGATTTTTTATTATGGAATGTATTTGAATTCTTTATTTCTTAATATATCTTTAATGGAAAAGTATTTAAGCTTATCTCAAAATGAACAAACTTTACAGAGTAGAATAGGGAACCCAATAACTTTTCGTCTGCTTTAGAGGAGGGTTTAGGTTGCTCAAAAATTCTAAATATATCTACAATTTGTTGCAGTAAAAGTTACAATTCTGTATGAGTTTTTTTGCCTAAATGTAATTTTGGAAAAGGAATACATTTATATCAAATGAACAATGTTTTCCTTCTTAGCTATAATTTTGATATTTGAAAATTTCCTATAATCTCTTATTCGTCAGAAATGATATTATTATAATAAAAGAATTTTGTAAATTTTAACACAGTGGTAAGAATATTAAAACTATTTAAAAAGTTCATTTATTCTACAGTAATCATAATTTGTTCATTGTGAAGACGTTTTCCTTTATGACTAGTGTTTAATCAAGTCTTCCAAGGAATCATTAATGTTCTGCTTCTAAATTTATATTAAAAGTTGTAGAACTATTAGAATCATGATCAGAAGACATTAAAAGTAACAATATGTTGACTAAACCATCTTAATATATATGCATTACTCGTCAATTATTATTCTGAATAAGATAATAAATTATTTTAGTATAAGGTACCTAGTTATCGTTACAGACAGTGTGGGATATATGGAATAATTAACATTTTATACGAAATGCATCCCATATTTTCCTCCCCAGCAGACAAAAAACTAAAGGGTTACCTGTTCTATGATGTCAACTAAAATTTGAATAAAAATGATGAGTTGCGCAACGAGAATTCTAACTAGTAAACATTCTATTAAAAGATGCTTTTTTATAGAAGATAAACACGACAGTTATCTTTAATAAACCCTTAATTTTCAGGTAGATGGGCTATAAATTCTTTAGGAATTTCATCAAGTTGTTAAGGATTTTGAAAAGACCTTATAATACCAGCTAATTACTATATTTTAACTGAAAAAGTATAATATAGTATATTATTATGGCATAAAGTCACTATAGATCATTATTGAAGGTGAATTGCTCTTTTTGGAAGAAAGGACTAAAAGGCAAAAAGAAAAATGTATTTATGTTTTAGAAATGTATGTATTTAAACAAAATTAATGGGGAGGGGGCAGGAAAGAGAGTATTATAGTTAGGCTAACCAAGAGCAAGAGCCTGAGTTGTCAAGTTAGTTAAGGTTCGTTTGGCAAATAGAAATCGTAAAGTAATTGAAATAGTACAGTGGAAAGAAGAACTAAAGACGTCTTGAATTCAAATTTGAAGTAATATCTTTAAATGAAACTAAAAGGATGAAAGAAAGCTTAAAAGTTGACAGTTTACTTAAATCTATTATAAATAAGCTTCAGAGTTCTAATGTATATATAAACGCTTATATAATAGAAAATCTCTACTTAGAGTAACTGCCAATGACTTTTTAATAGTAATTGTATGGTTTACATTTTAATTAGTAAATAATTTATGTAACTTTTATAATAAATTAAATTGATAACATAAAAACTTCAAATGGTCATATTTAATAAACAAAACAACAAATATAGAGCAGTTTGTTTTATATACAAAAGAGAGAGAGAGAGACAGAAAGAGAGACAGAGAGATAGAGAGACAGAAAGAGAGAAAGAAAAATAATAAGAGTAGGTATATTGTAAAGAAACATAATAATCATTATTATTCCCCTACATCCAATTAACACAGTTTATCTCTTATCAAGCAGTTTCTTTGAAATTTTAAAGAAAATGATTATATTTTAATTATTACAATAGAGAATATTTAGTTTATGGGACTGTGAAATGAACGACCAAGAGATAATTTTACTTTTATTCATGGTGGAATATAGTTTAAATTTTATTATTTAAGTAATAAAATTAAGAAGAAAAACGGAGGAAAACAAGTAGAAAAGTTAATAAGACAAATGATAAATTGAGTTTATATAATTTTCAATAAAAGTTCAACCAAACTAATAATTCTTTATTAATAGATGAACGTTCTATTTGCTCTTTTTAAGCTTTGTGTAGTAGAAGTATATATCTCTATAAAACAGAATAAACTAGTGGAAAAGAGTACAGTATTGCTGCAAATGTTATGCTTAAGTTTGCCCTTTGTAAGAACGGAAACTGCCATTGGCTGACTATTCTAAAATAAATTACAATGTATGCAAAAACGAAATACTCCAACAATTCACTTTTAGTTACGGTCCTTCTTCATGCGTCAGGTTTGTACAGTTTTTCTAGTTGAATAAACTTTCTTTATATATTAAGTCGACTTTTTAGAACAAAACAAAAAGGATATTTTTTATTAACTAAAAGGAAAAGGAAATTAAGAGAGAGAATTTAAAAATAACTTTAAATTATTAAAAGAAAATCATCTTAACGAAGGCTATATCAATAAAATATGCGAAATGATTTAAATACTCGAATATCTCTTAGAGAGAAATAATAAAAAGTTATAGTTGGTTAACAGAATAATGATTAGACTATATCAACATAAAAAGTGCAAAGTATCGCATAAAAGATTCAGATTATTGCGTTATTAATTATTATATTAGATCCGTATTGGATAAATTAATTTATTAACTAAAGCTAGTCATAAAAAATGGAAATAACTTGAAAAAGAGTCAAATACTTAAAGGCCAAGTTATTTTTAAATATATAGTATTATTTCGTGCTTTTACAATTGGCTTTTCTTTTACCTTACTACAAGATGATTATTGTTTAATAGTTTTACCAATTTTTTATTATAAAATCAAACCAATAATACAAGTTTATACAATCAAAAATTTACGGGAACAAAATCTATAGAAAAGGATCGATTTAGTAGGAGTATGGCAAAAGAAAAGACAGATAGAGAGAATGGAAGAGAGGAAAAGAAAGACAGAGACAGAGGGAAGACAGGAAAGAGAGAAATTAGGAAAAAATGAAGCAAATAGGCGGAGAAAGAAAGGAAAAAATGAAAAAATAACAGTTAATAGTAAAAGAGTTGTGGAAATGATTAAATGATAAAAAGTTTGTGTACGTTTTATTCATAATAGGAAAAGGTAAATTAGGGAAAAATTTCAAGCTGGGAAATAATTAAAGTTACATAAAAAGTTACCTAGCCTGTATAAAACACAACGTCCGGATGCTGTTAATGTACATGAGAAAGTAAAAAGGAGTTTTGTATATTTGTCAATTTCCGCTCTGTAGGTGGCTAAAACATGGAAAAAAATAGTATTTCTTCACATCACTTTGCTATATAATTATTTCAGTTTCACAAATAGTAAAATACTATTTAACATTTGTTTAGATCTATTGCCTCATTTAATGATACTAGTTAAAGACATAACGCCCCCTCCACCCCTCATAAAACAAGCTACAAAGTGTCCCCGTTTTAAGAGCAAGTGATGGTGATTTATCTTATTCTCCTCTAATCAAAAATTAAAAGAAATATTTACATTGAATGTTTTAATTGAACAATTAACAGAAGTAAATGAAAGGAGAGATACACTGATAAGGTTAAATTTTTTAACCTGCTAAGCCCCACATAATTTTGAATTAAATGCATTTTTTTAATTGCAGTTTGCTTATTTTTTTTTTGATTTTTTCCTATTTTCTTTTCTTTTTCCTTGGAAGAATAGATAATAATGAAGAGCTTTAGTTGCGGTTACCTTCTTATTATTATGTTGTCCATAATTACGTGGGCTGAATCGCATCCTTTGGATACATTACATGTATTGAATAGAGAATTGGAGAGCGCTAAACTACGTTTGGAAAATACTATGAAGGATATTGAGAAACGGGATAGTAACGACAAAGATTATGGCTGGGGAGGCGGTAGATGGGGTAAAAGATCGGCTGAAAAAGTGTATAGATACGAAAGAGACGTCGATCACGTACAGCCAGCTATCGATGATTAATGTAGTCAGTTTCAATCTATAAACACCTCAGAACAAATATAAATATAAATAAGAATATAAATATAAATGTAAATGTTAAAGGAAACTTTACTGCTAAATGTTTTGTGATGATGATGGTTATTGAAAAAATACAAAATTCAGCTTTTAGTATACTTATTTCTTATTTACAGTTTAGCTTTAGGTTTCCTTTAGAATTTTCCGTATAGTTTGGTTTATTGAAGGCGTGACGGTAACAAGGATGGAAGATGGACGAACGAATGTTGGATAGATATATAATAGGTAAACAAAGTAAAAGAGAAAAAAACAATACATAATAGTTATTTTGAAGGTAGTTTGCCTTCTTATTTTTCTATCATGCAATCTAATCGTCCACAAATCAATAAAACACTCGACAGGATATAATTTCCACTACAATGTCTATATGAAGATATAATTAATGAAATGACAGCCTTATTTTTATGCAAAACATTCTATATGTTCATTTTAAAACTTATTTGGCTCCATCTATAGTAGACTAGAGACATATTTAGCGAGGGAATGAGAAACAAATCAAAGATTTGTTCGTAACTAGTCGAGTACTACCACAAAACCAGTCTGTAAAACATTGTATAAAATTGTAAACTAAATTAGCAGTTGGGCAAATGATAAGAAAAGAATGAATGAGAAATTTCCCAACAGTATTACCAGTGAGGATATGGATAAAATGAGACTCTTTTTTAGTTTATTTAGCGTATAAATACAGCATTTTATGTATAATAGAAAGAAAACTGGAACTGTATATACTGATATACAGTATATCTATATATATACTGTATACATATTTCAATAACTGATGATTAAAAACACCATATATATAAAACAAAATATACACATGAATATAAACGAGGGCATCAATGAAACGCTATAAGAAGAAAGTAGAACTGATAGCGAGGGTGTGAGAGAGAGAGAGAGAGATAAATATGCATGTATTTTGTTCTACTGTGTATTTGCGTGATAGCTGTCAGAAATGTGCGTGTTTATTGTATAAAAAAAATGGCACATTTAGCTCTTTTATATAGTTTAAGGGTTAGATTTATAACTGTTACATTGTTTCATATGGGAATTTCATAATTGTCAAAATGGCTGTTTACGACAAATAATAATCGATATATTGATTTTTTTCTCTCATATGAAATGATTAGGTATACAGTATAACATCAACAAATATACAAAATTCGATCAATCAATTTATACACTTTAAATGTAATTGCTAAATATATAGATTCATACATTATGCAAATTATTTATTTGCAGTTTAGCTATGTATACTGTATACATATATACATATCTATATATCTATATATATATATATATATATATATATATATATATATATATATATATATATATATATATATATATACTTTATATATATATATATATATATATATATTTATGCATATTATATGTTTTTATTATCATATTGGGGATAATGTATGGATTTATGCATAGTAATAGAAATTCAATTGTAGTATGTATCGTAGTATTTATAATAATACTGTTCGACCTAGAAATAGCGTCCTTGAAGGAAAAAAACGCTGCTTTTATCGTGACGCCCCAGTGCAGTATGTTAATGAGCAAGTTCATTTTGATGTGTAGGTGGAACGATTTGTATTTAGTGAACTTGATATCGCTAAAATACTATTTAAATTTGTTTATGTCTAGACTAAGGTTGTGATATTATTTAATACTGCAAAACGAAAAATAAAACTAGGTAAGTAACATTGCATAAAACAGGGAACAGAGGGAAAGCTGGTATACCAACACCCCTGAGAACGTCACGCAATTCTCCTGTCTTAAAGTGAGATCAGTCGGTGCAGCAGAAAACAGCTGAGCGTTCGATTTGCCAACAGAATTGAGAAATCAAAATAAAAGGTTGCATGGCTGCTGAAATGACTGATAAAGACCCAGCAACTATATCTTTGTCTGGAGATGTTGAAAAGAAGCAGGCTAGTAAAGAATCTCTTCCAGAGACGAGAGAAGTCAACATTCACCAACGAGATCCGGCTAATATTAACGATTATATAAAGGTGAGTGTCTAATTGTATTTTCTTAGGCCTACTTTGATGCATGCAAGAATAATTTAATGTGGTAATGAAAAACTCATTACACTTATAAACAGAGACTGAGAAAGGGTGTGCTAGAGAGAGATAGAGTGACAGAGAATATGAGATGGGAGGCAAAGAGGGAAAAGGAGAGACAAAGAGAAAGAGGGAAAAGGAGGGAAAACGAGAGACAGACAAATATATAGATAGGCAGACAGAAGGCAGGCAAGCATGGATTGAGGGAGGGAGCGAGAAAAACAGATAGAGAGAGAGAGAGAGAGAAAGAGAGAGAAATAAATAAAGCGACGAAGGGAGAAAGAGAGAAAGAGAGAGAAAATCAATAGAACGCGCTTATACATTATGCATGCATTTTCTGAAAAAATTGACTCAGCATCTGTTTTGCTTTTTTATGCCCTAATTCAAATATTTTTAATTTCGTTTTTATACAAATTATTTAGATGATCTTGAATAAAACTCGTAGCTGATTTATGGATGTTGTGTTTAAAATAATAAAAATAAATTAAGACTCCAGCTGCATCAATCTATTCTCATACAATCTATTCAATCAAACTATTAAACGTGTTTGCTCTCTTCCAGATTAAATTTCACGATGTCTTTGCCGAACCAGATGAGGAAGTGTTCAGCTTTGATAAAATTTGGGAGCTATCCTTTAAGGTTTTATTCTTTTCTATTCAACTGAATTAAACACCTGAAATATTTAGGAAACATACCGGCATGCATACAGACAACAAATAAATAGAACAAAACACTGTATATAAATAAAATATCATATATGAATCGATGATTCCTAAACTCTCTTTTTTTTTGCCTTCTTTAATTAACAGGTTTTTACCCAAACTAAGATGTGGTGCTATAGGATCACATCGATTATTCTAGCATTACCCCTAACAGTCTGCTGGGCTTTATACTTTGGTTGTTTGGCGTTCTGTAACATTTGGTGTTGTGTTCCTTTCATGAAGGTTCGTATTAAAATATACTATATACATATGAATAAATGAATAATAAGAGGGAAACGGAAGAACGAAAGGGAAGAACGAAAGAAAAAAAAATAAGAAGAGTAAAAATCTGGGAGGGGGGAGGGCAGTGGAAGGGCAATAATAGAATTAGATGAGAAAGAGGCATTTAGCCGGGCTGTTTATCATTTAACGGTTTCGATTTAACTATTAATTTATTTCAGGGCCTTGATATAGAATGTATGTGTATACGAAAAATTTGGGGATTGTTTATCAACGTTTTTTGCGTCCCGCTATTTGACGCCTACGGGCGCTGCTGTTCGCGGATGAGAATGAACGTTCAGCTGGAAAAAGTCTAGAGAAGGAGAATACTTTGCTAAATGTTGTAATTGCTTTTACAAGAAGATATTTTAGTCTCTTTATTCGTAAACAAAAGCATAAAACAAGTCACAATTTATCGCTTAGCTTAACAGAAACAAAAACAAAGAGTACGTAACATACTCGTTCAGCTTAAAACTTTTATCTTTCATTTTTTACAATATACAATACAAACATACAAACATATAGACCTACACGCATACACAATATGCATAAATATCCTTTCAATATCTGTATATGGTTGTACAACTAATTTGCTGTATATAAATATAGACATACGTATATGGATATACCGTATTTATGTTAAGAGTGGGAGTTTTTCCAATAACCACTCTTGAAATACCAAAAAAAGTGTGCTTATATTGTTAACATAGCTTTTTTAACGCTGTATCTATACACAACATTTCAATTGAAAGAATATGTGTATAAATACGGATAAACAGCATTTCGTTTTTCTATGCTTTTTACAGTTTTCGATGTATATTTTAATTGCCGTTTAAACGTCTAATCTCCCCAATTATTTAATCTTGTATAATGAAGGAACTTTATAACTTTAATCTCTATTTTAACTTTTCTGAGTGCATTTATTTTGCTAAGTATTTAGTTTTTTAACTTTTCTGCTTATTAAGTATTATGTGTATGTTTGATGGAAAAATTATTTTTTTACCAGTTTTCTTGCCGTTCCCAGCTAAAAAAATTTTCTTTTTGAACTTTCTCTTGCGCAACAAACACCCACATACACATATATATATATTTACTGTATATATGTGTCTCAAATCTCCATAGACTTAAGCTTATTGCAAAATAGATAGTAGACAAAATAGATAGAAAGAAAGAAACAGATTAAGTAAGAAAGAGAGAAAAGAAAATAAACGATAGTAGAAAAATTGCTATTAATTGTAAATGAAATTTAAGAGACTAAGAAAAAAAATACTTTTTCCTATATTTCATTGTTGCATTTTAACTTCCCCAGCTACATTGCTGCCAAACTATGGACTTTTTAAATAGGTGTTGTCGAAATCGAAATATTTTGTAATTATCAGCTTTAATGTTCAGTAAGCTGTTTATATACATATATTACCCGTACAATGAAAGATAAAACAAATAAGAAATACAAGTTCGTGTACTTTCGCGACGAATTTTGCGTAGTAGAGTCTACATTGATCTTAATCCCTTCTTTACAAAATCGTTTAAAGAATATTCAACCGGTTATATTATCATTAGTGTTATTTTGTGGAAAATTCCTCCTTTCTATCGTTTCTTTATAAGATGATAGGTGTCTCTGCAATAGAGGAACGAACAAACTATAATCCAGCATAACTTTCTTCTGTCTCTTCCTTCTTTAAATGAGCTTTAAGGGATCTTTCTTTTAATTCATCCGATTCAATCGCAATATTTAATATGCCCTAAAGAAAAAGTATTAAGAATAGCTTTTGACTGAAGTTCAATTAAATAGCATGAAAAAAAATAACAAACAAGTTGTAGACAAAAAGTTGCCATTGAGATGCTAGAGGACTATATCGCTGGCGTTAGACATAAAAGCGATAGAGTGGAACAGAGAAATAAGAGGGAAAAGAAAGAAAGGGAAAAAAAGAAAGAGCGAGTATGAGAGAAGGAAGTAGGTGGAGAATTTAAAAAGTGGTAAAAGGTAGAATAGTTATGGTGTTGCTTTATTTTAATCTAATTGGAAAAACATTCGCAATTTCGTATACAACGAATGGAAAAGTTGAAATTGATTAAGTTTACAGTATTTTATCAAATTTTTCATCTTCTACTCACTGGGAAAGAGAAATAAAGCAGAAATAGTTTTTTATAACCATATTAAAGAAATTCAATGAAGAATTATCTTCTCCATGAGCTTATTTTTCCCCCATAGCCAATAGACTTTGCCAAAAAAAGCTGAAAAGAACACGAATCAGGCATTTTCCCCATTTTTCTTCATTTACGAACTATTAAAAAAAACTGACAATTATTTGACATCTTTTATTTGCATTGGTCGTTTACCTTTCCAATAATAAATGACTTTTTTTCTTCTTTTAACCTTTCATTCTTTCTTTGTCGTTTGATTCGTTGCCAAGAGTCGCCCTAGAGAGAGAGGAAGAGAAATGGAGAAAGAGAGGATTGAATAGCTTCTTGGTTTAAGTAGTTGGGTGAAAAAGCAAAAGAAACGGTTATATCGACTAGCGATACTGCTTTCATAAGTTCACAAGGCAACGGAAAAGCAAAAATATAATTTGAAATATTAGATGATATATTAAAAAGGTTGTTTGGATAATTTTACTATTCGTGAGAGCATCTATACACTTGTTTTTTACGGTTAACATTGGTTTGTTCCTGTTGCGTTGTTTGTTAAAGTGAAATAAAAAAAGTTGGGAAAGGGCTTCCCTTTCCATCTTTTCTATTATTATTTCTATTAGAATGAAATTAGACCGCCCACCCAACCACTTCGGATGGAAATTGTATGGAATTCATTCCATCGCCCATCCTAGCTGGACAAAAACGTTAGACAAGCTGTACATAGAAAAAAACCTTTCCTTTTTCCAATTGAAAGATACGTTAGGCCTATAAAAATGCACGAATAATTACTGAATACGTCGTGCCGGCCTTAGCATTAACGAGATATGCGACTTGTATAAAAAATAACGAAAAAGCACCGTCTGGCGGTTAGATTATTTGGGGCAGCACTACGCCACAGAATATGCCTCGCATCGATACCCAGAAAACAGGAGGAAGGAATTTCGAAGAAGGAAAACGACAGTTACTCACGAGAAACAAATCGGACTGCGGATTAAGCTCACCAGAGAATGACAACGAATTGTTTATCAATAAACACGGACAACAACGAAGGGTATCTTATTGTACAACTGTATCACTATGTGGTGAGGGTCCACTACAATTTGCTCACATTAAAGACGAAGAAGAAGTAAGATATTCTATAATCAAAAACCATTAAAACTGTTGAACTTAATTTCATTTCCTTTTTCACCAATCTCGTCATCTTCTCTGCCTGCTCATCTTTCTTCTCCTGCTCTCCTTCCTCCTTCTGCATCTCTGTTTCACCTTTCCTACAATACTGCGTTGTGATTTTGGTTTTCCTTTATACTACTCAACTCCCTTTATTTACTATTGTTGATACAACTTTTACTCTTTTCTACTATTATTCTACCTCAACTTACTCATCTACTTTCTATATTTCTCCACCTCATTCGATCTGTCCCTGCTAAAACCAATCATCCTTTTTCTCCTTTCTTCATCTTCTCCTACTTTTTTTCTCTCTTTCTCTCACTCTACAAAAAAATTTAGATCACACAGCAACAGAATACTTGCAAACGGTTTGTTTCTTAACATATATTTTTAATGGAAACAGGTCAACAATTTTCTTTTTTTTTCCTTTCTTTCAATTTATTGCGCGTAAAGTATATGGAACGGTTGACATTAAACCAGTTTATAGTCGTTTACAAATCCTTCGACGTCTGTTAGCTTTACACTTCTAGAAAAACGAGGATAATTTCATCAAGGTCATGCGCCAAGGTTTGACCATTTAACAAGGCAAATTAGTGCTATTAAACACGTTATTCAATTAAATTTTGAAAAGATAGATTATTAATAATATCGATTACCAATTTGTATAAGATGTCTAAAATAAGAAAGCTTAAATAAAACGTTAATTGTAATTAGACTTGAAACCAGTATTGTTTCCAGTCAATTGCTCACCGATTAACATCCATAACATTTATACGCCTCCAGATGCCACTAAACCATCAAATAGTCATTTAAAAGAGGCGAATCGCTCCCTCTTCCATAGCCTGACTGTCCCCCGTTTTTTTTTATCGCTTTGACAGATTCTCTTTCTCATAGATTTACCCAATCCCAACCTCCCAAGTCTCCCTTATTTTTCACTCTATTGATTCAGTCTCCTAAAAGACTACACCCGAGTGAATTCTGTTTGAAATGAGAGATGATAAAAATAGTTAATTTAGGAATTAAGCCTAATTATTGGTCAATTTTCTCTTTCAAACAAACTCAAAGTAAACTTACTTTTAACTTTAAATAAGAAAATTATTTGACGAAGAAAGGCAATCATTTCCTTATTTCCATATTCAATTTACTAATTACTGATATAGGTCTTGTAAGTTTTTATCTAATTAGCTTTCCCTCTCAAAATTTTATTTGTTATCCTTCGGAGGGAAACATAGGAAAAGAGAGGGGATAGATAGATTAATACAATATTCAGTTTGCCGCACGCATAAATATATATAGAGATAGATAAAGATGGAGAGCAAAGTGGAAGGGGGCTGAAGGGCAAGTGCACATATTTAGATTTATTTTGATATATAGTTGCTTTATGTTTGGCCATTGACCTAGAGAAGGGTTAAAATTTTATGGTTTTCTTCCATCTAAATGAATGACCATTGTGGCCTTCAATTTTCGCGGAAAAGGTGAAACCATAGGAAAATAATACGTTCTTTTTTTTTTCGAGAAGAAAAAATCGGTAGATGGCATTACTATAGCTTTATTTTAATTCTCTATTTTTGGGGAGGGTGGCGTTATGGTGTTGAGCAAAAGAGATATCTAACGAATATATAGCGGACAGACGGAGTAGGAGGCAACACACACACACACACAGTCGGCTGAGGTTTTGCAAGGAAGATGTAAATATGATGAGTTGTCCAAAGGATTAATGTTGACAAACGATTATTCGGCATGTCGAAAGTGAGATTTTCTGCTTTTCAAATTGAATAGTGAGTATTCAAGCAAACGATTTACAGCAAAAGTATTTTTATACACAATTCTTCTTTCAATTAAAATTGAATTTTGTAATTTTTTTGTTTTTTAAAAAAAAACCGAAAGCAATAAAATGAAAAACAGTTTTTTTTCTAAAGGTGGAATATGAAATGAAAAAAGAGAGAGAACAGTTTGATTAAGGTATTTAATTATGAAAATGATAGATATAGAGAGGGGAAAGAATGCAATATGCAGTAATAATTTGTTTCTTTATCAAATTTTTATATGAAAAATGTATAGTTCGAGCGAGAGGGATAAAATTCTGGCGCAAAGAGGAAAAAAGAAGCTACCCCGCCTGCTTCATTAATGGTTTTTAAGAGAGACAGCGAGCAAAGAGGGCTGGAAGGAGAAACGCTAGAGCTAGGGTTCAATGTGTTAGTCTAGATTTTTTCTTTTAATTCGTAAGAACAAGCCCACTGTTAGATTTTTATTGCACCACGTCTAAATGAATAATTAGATCTACTAGAATTTAATTAAAGTGATTATAATCCAAAAATACTTTGAAACGTCACTATACAGTTGACTTACCTTACTACATATAAATATAAGATGGAAAGATTATATGTAATCTATATCTTAAAGAGAAGAAAATTGTTTATCAAAACTCTAAATAGATGAATTATAAACAATGATCATTTATACAGAGCATATCAAATATAGACGTGGACGTAGACGTAGATATGTATGTAGATTGATTTCTATTCCAACAAGCCAAATAGATGGAAATACATGAAAATAGAGAGTTGGAAAAATTTAGGGTATTTAAGGGTGAAAGGCTGGTCGGTTTACTGTGGGTTAGTTTTTAGAAAATGGGTATGGAAAACGTTATTTGGATTTGATTGTCACAACTGATTTATGAATGCGAATGTCGCATGATCTCTTATTACTCTATTTGAGATATTGAATCGAGTTTTATCAATAGAATTTGCATAGTTCAAAAAAATGCAATATATTTTCTTTTATTGTTTCATCATCAATTTTCAATTGTCTGTATCGTTTATTTATTTTTATTTTTCATCTCTGTAATCCTTCTTCTTATTTAAATTCTAAAGAATTTATCCCTCTTTCTTTCTCCTTTTCTCTCTCTCTCTCTCTCTCTCTGTCTCTCTCTTTCTTTCGCTCTATCTTCCTGACTTATTTTTTGCCGGTTTCAAATTCACATAATTTAAATACTATAATTTGACAAAAAAAAAATACAGCTATATTTTTTACTCAACAGCAACTCAACAGCAGTCATTAATTTATAAATTATTACCTCTATGACTAAAAGCTTTACAGAGTCAACATTTGACTAAAATTTAACAGACTATTTGTCGAAACTGCATATTTAAGCGTAACAAAGCTGGTTGTTATTCACCATGCAAGTTCGAGATGAGTTAAAAGAGTGGTCAATCATTGCGACCAGCTGACCATAATTCAATAACAAGACACAGTCTGACGCTGTAGCCAATCAGTAAAAACAACTTTGCGCGTATTTCATGCGTGCCGCAACGCATATTAATAATCGGCGACGCTTTGTTCCAAGTAAAGAAAATAAAGTATAATCGCCATTCATTTTCAATTGTATAATACTCCTCTTTTTTATCTGAAAAGTATCAGCTAATGATGAGATCCTGGTTAGAAAGCATAGTGGTTAGGGAATAGGAAAGAGAAGAGGTAAGAAAAACCATGTTCCGATATTGATACAATATACCTACTTAGTGATTGTATCATACTCATATACGGTAGATTGTATAGGGTATAAAAAATGGACGACCCAGTCAGACACTAATGGAATAAGAGAGTCAATCAGCGTCTATTCTTTGTTGAAGAGTTTGCTTTGCAAGATAAGCAAAAAACAGCTCAAATCAACAAAACTTATAAGATCATCTATGGCCTTTTTTCATTTAAATGTTTTTCCTTAATTTTTTCCAGTGCTGACGAATCAAACAATACAGAAGCATCGGCCTTAGAAATGAATAACCGCCCTCCTCCTCGTAAAAGAAAAACCCGGCAGTCTGTTATAAGATGGGCGAGGTGAGTGTTAATTTCATTTTTTATACACAGCATCAGCTTATATATCCATTGCAAGGGTAAGATACTTGCCAGTTTTTCATCTGCAAAACTCCTTACTTCTTTATTCCTTCTCACTCCAACATAAACCGAAAGACAAACCCAAAGATGCTATATATTTTCTATCTGTCTGCCAATCTCTCTCTCTCTCTCTCGATTTTCCTCTTTTTTCTTTTTTTTCTTCTGTATCTCGGGATTCGTACTTCCTTCCTTTCTTTCCTTTTAAAAACACTGGACAGTAGTCTTTAGTACAAGTGTAAACGGAAAATTGACGCATTTTATACCATCGCATCGCTTAATTTGGGATGAAAGAGGCAAAGATCATCGATAGAATAGAAAACAAGAACTATAAGTCTTTGTAGAGAATTTTAAAACAAACAACAACCTATAATCAGGAGCAAATTGCAACCCCAAACTCATTTTATCTCTTTGCTTTCTTTCTTATTTTATCTATCTAACACTTCCACGCCCTCTATATAATCTTTCTATTTCCCACAATTGGCGTATAAAAGCTCGAAGAGCTAGATTTGAATACGAAATCTGATTTAAACTTGAAAAAAACCTTACTGGAATATTATATAGACTGACAATTGTAACTTATTAGATTATCCGAACTCTTATCCCTTCCAAATCCAGGTCGAATTCTATAGGCTTCAGTCGTTACCTAATTTTTTCCTTTTCTTTTTTTTCTGGCTTTTTTAATAAAAAAAATTCTACTAAACGACAAAAAGGGTAAAAGAGAATTCTAGTCATAATAACCGCCACTTTCACTCAACTAACAATATTCTCTTTAATTTATTAGTCCTAACAGGAAAAACAACGCAAATAAACTAGGTCCAGTCCTGACCAGTGGAAATTTATTATTATTTTTCAGCTAACAAGGCTGTAAAAATCGGTAGGGGGATATTTGCTTATCATTTAACTAAAGAGTCTGGAAAAAAGGAGCAGTTTATGTGCATACATTCAGTTCTGTCAATAGAGTTGATAGTGCCCTCTACTATTTATTAGTTCAGGTTATCGGACCGAGATAATTTATTTATAGAATGATTAATAGAAAATTTTTTATATGGTTATGTAACCCGGGGAAATATTGAGGGACTCTAGAAAATGGATAAA